CCGGGGCCTTGGTGTTATCAGCCCCGCACTCTCCCAAGTGAGCCACGGGCCGGCCCAAGAGAGCTACATTTTTTTTTTTTTTTGGTCTTTTTCCGTGTCCGGCAACGGATCGCAACCCTCAGCGCTGCTCCCGCGCCTTGCTCAGCCAGTGAGCAGGAACCGGTCTGCATGTGGGATCCGAACCCTCGGGCGGGAGCGCCGCCGCGCTTCCCAAGTGGCGCACTATCCAGTGCGCCACCGGGCCGGCCTGAGAGCTACATTTTAATGGCCTTTCATAGCTGTTAAAATCTCCTTAGCCTGTTGGGGGAAGTGTGGGGTTAAAAGAGCATGGTCTACGCAGTCAGTCCCAGGTTTGGATCCCAGCTCTACTATTTAGTAGCCATGTGACATTGGGCAAGTTATTTTTCTCTCTGTTCCTCAAATTTCTCAGTGATGAAAATTCATAAAACACTAAGAACAGGGTCTGGCCTTAGCAAATACTCAATAAATGTCAGCCACTATTTTTTATCTGTGGTTTAAAAAAAAAAAAAAAGGTTGCCCATTTCTCATTTAGTACTGGAAGAATTTGGGAATATTTGTGGTACTGTGAAATTCTCCGTGGGAAGTTAGGATTGGAACACTTTAAAATGTAATGCCTCCTCCTCTATCCTTTCCTCTTACTTTAAGTCTTAAAATTGAAGCCAGTGAGAGAAAGGAAAAGTGACAAATGGCTGCCAGCTATGTTCTAGTTGGTTTCAAATGACAGCAGCACCAGTTTGTACTTTCCCCCAGAAGTCTGTGTTCCTTTGTTTACACATGTGTCTTCACAAGCCATTTCGAGACAGGTGAGATATGCGAAGAGAGGGCTACCTGTTCAGATTCTTGACACCTAGCATTTTGTACATGTTGCTTTTTTGAAATCTGGAGGATCATCAAATTTCTTTTCTTCCTCTTCACCTTATTGGGACCCTCTGGTTGATCCGAGCCTACCAAGTATCTGCCATTCAAAAGCCATAATAAAGTAATGAAGCCAGAACTGCAATTAAGGCTCTCTGCTGCTATCACCCTGGAAAAATATTTCTCATAAAAAAAAATAAGAAAGCTACAAAAAAGTTAAATAGTTCGTCTTCTCTGGAGACTCAGTGTTCTGTCAAGCCCTCTTCCTTCTAACCTGAAGGTACACTAAGTTCTGGAGCGGAAGCTAGGAAACCACCCTGATATAAATGTTTCCCCGCCTCTTTTAATCTTGTGAAAGAGCTACCAATTCTAGAAATTCCTCCTTTGATCAGAAAATAAAGCAGAACAATGCTGTGGAAGTAAGTGGATTCCTAAGGGACATTCTTCTAGGGTGTGTAAAGCTTGCCTGGAAATGTGTGTGTATGGAGGAGGGTGGAGTTGATGAAAAGCTAGGAGTAGGCTGGGTGGGTGGACAAGAGCTGGTAGCCACAGCCACAAGGTGTAATCACAGTCGCTTTTAGACTTCCCCATAGAATAGATATCCCATGAAGTCTCTCCGTCTCCGGAAAAGCGCAGGCATGTTTATTACAGCGATTAGATTACCCCTCCACACTCCCCTTTGCCCCCCAAGAAAAAAGAAAAAGAAAAAATATCAGACGGATTTCTTTCTCGTTATTTGTTGGAGGTAAGTTTCACCTTCTCTTAGAGCCTTTTCACTATATATACAGCACACACGCACATACACACATTTTAAAAACTGAGAATTGAAGCCTAAATCAGTCTACCACATTAGACTGTGAACCTCTGGAATATGGGGACTTCCTTCTTTCAGTGTTGTAAAACGCTGCCGAAATGAATTTGTATCATGTCCCAGCTTCACCATCTACAAATGTGGACACTTTTCCTATATAGCACAGTGTGATGTAATTTTTAAATTTAACATTAGAGGGCTAATGCTTTACAAGCATAATCTCATTCAATTCCCATGAGGAAGATATTTTGTAATATAAAAAGAGCCGTCTGGTTGTGAGTTATTATCATCAGGCCGTCTTGCTGTTGTGAGGATTAAACGAGACACTGAAAGCGCTTTACCTGCTATCAGGCACTTTACACAGCCCACGTGATGGGCTACTAATTACACATCCCGCAGCACCTGATCCACAGTGAGGACTCGATAAATCCTGGTTGGAGTGAACGATTTTTTCTTGCCTGTTATTTTCAGTGTTCTGTTCACAAACTAATCTCGGCGCGGCCTGGGGCCAAAACCACAAATCTGGGAACCGCAGCCCGGATGGAGGCGGGTGCGGAGTCCCTGGAGAGGGAACGGGAACAATAGGGTACTTCGGCGCCCAGGCGGGTTGGCGCGGCTTCGGACGCGGGGTTGGAGAGGCGGCCGGCTGGGGTTTCCGGAACGCCCCCTCCCCCCAGCTACCCCGCCGGGCGTCAGGACCTGCTCAGCATTCCCGGGGGGAGCCGATCCCCGGCCCCCACCACCCTAGCTCAAGCCTCACGGGACGCGGCCTAGCCCCGCCCACCACCTCAGGTAGGCCGCCCGCATCAGCCAATCCGCAAGAAGTCTGGGCGCAGAAGGCGGTGCTTCCCCTACCGGAAGTGACGTATGTGCTTGGCTGGCGGCAGAGTCGGCAGAAGCTCTACGCGGAGACAGCCAGCTGAGGGGAAAATGGCTCGGACCATTGTGGCTGCGGCTGCTCGGGTTGTGGTGGAGGCGGAGGCTCAAGCAGCGTGAGGTGAGGAGCGGTTGGTGCGGCTGCGGCGGTACCAGGGACCCGGCTTTGCGAGGGCGGAGAAGAGGAGACCTGGGGATCCCTGGATGGGAGGGTCCCTTGCCGCGGCCCCCACTCCGCCGGGTGCCCGCCTCTGACCCTCCATCCTGTACTCTTGGCGCTGCCCAGCCCGGCTCACCTTCTCCGGGCCTTGCGTCCACCCAGGTCGTGGCCATCCTCCCCGACGGGAGGGACAAGGGGCCCGCGTCCCCACCAGGCCCCTTCTGTTGGAGGCGGGAGTGCGTCTGGGAGTTAGTTTTGTCCCGAAGGAGGAGGGGAAGTCACCACCCCCTTGTCCCTCCGGACCGGGCTGGAGCCACAGTTCCCGGTCCTTTTTTCTCTTGTCAGATTGTTTGTTCTGGCGAGTGTGTGTGTTATGGCCCCTTCTTTCACCTCCTGTCCCATCTCCGGCCTTGGGGGCTAATGATACTTTTTCTTCTCCCTGGGTCCCCCACGCCTTTGCTTTTTTGCCGCGAATCCACTTGCTTTGGGAACACAGCATTATTTCACTGTGTATTTAGTGTATCATCTTTCTGGGAGGCCGGTCAGATTAAAAATATTTGCTTAACTCGACCTGAGTGACAGGAATGATAAATACTTATTTTCTTCACTAAATCTTTTGGCTTTGAAAACGAGATTCTCCATCTGTGGATTTTTTTTTTCGGGGGGAGCGGGGATTGGAAGGCAAAGAGGAAGGAGAAACTAAGCGAGGAGGAAAGTCTGGAGATAAAGAGAGAGCCTGTGGTAGTTCTTTCCCTATGTTGGCTTGATAGAAGTTGAGGTTATAATTATATTTTTATTTTGAACAGTGGGTGTTTGAATAGCATAAAAAACGAAGGAGGCCTTCCTCTTTGAGCAAGATTACTTATTAAAGAGGTATCCTAAAATTTTTCCAGGTGGGTGTCAGGCAGAAAAGCTCTGTTGAATAAATAGTTTAATATATCGAAGCATCAAAGTTCACAGAATAGAAAAAATGCAAGAAAAAGGAAACTACTCTTAGAGTGATGAAAACATAGTGTAAAGGGAGAAGACCGCACAGAGGTCCAGAAACACTGATTCCAGGAGAGACTTTGTATTTGCCTCCTTGGCTTGTGGTTCAAGTCTTCATAAGAGACTTCTTTAGCAGCACTGCCATAGTTGTGGTTGGTGCTCTTTCTTATTAACAGCAGCAAATTAGACTGAAGTAATTTAGTTTAGGTATAAAAATTTTTGAAGGTATTTTCTGTTTTAATACTAAGACAGTATTTGAGTACTGAAAAACATTATAACTGAATGAAAATAGTGAGATTTTATTATTTGTTAATTCAAACTTAGTTTAAAATGTGATTTTATATAGGTAGAAAGTATATACAGAGCATCTTCCATAAATTCCATAGATTTCTGCTAAATTAATCGATTCTAAAGCAGATTTTTTTCTTATGAAAATCTCTGTTGCTATTTGTTTTGTATGCATCTTGCAGTTTTCCTTGCAAACAATGTATTTTAATGTTTTTATCAATAGGTTTCACAATTTTTCCTGTTTTATAGAATATAAAACTTGGCATGCTTGCATTTAGGAATTTTAGAAACCACTATAACTTTGTAATTAGTGTATTTTAAGTGTATGATTCTTTCTTTGTTTCTCCTTTCTGCCATTAATAGTTCTAAGATTGCTACTCAATTCCCATGTCCAGGAATCTTTCTTTAGCACAGTGTTTTGCACTTAATAAGTAAGCACATTTAGTAGGTGAACTTAACACCTAAAGGAAGTGTTAAATTTTCCAAGAGCTCAGAGTTCTTATCAAAGCATCAGACCAACCTTTCAGAGCAGCAGTAGCACAAAGCCGTTTTTTAAAATGCTTTGTGGGCCGGCCCGGTGGCGCACTGCTACAGTGTGCCGCTTGGGAGCGCGGTGGCGCTCCCACCGAGGGTTCGGATCCCACTTGCAGACCGGCCGCTCACTGGCTGAGCGAGGTGCGGGCGCAACACCGGGGGTTGCGATCCCGTTGCCGGTCCCGGTCCGGTACGGGCACGACACTGAGGGTTGCGATCCGTTGCCGGTCACGAAAAAAGACAAAAAGGGGGAAAAAATAAATAAATAAATAAAATGCTTTGTAACTTGTCTGGCTTTGATAACATAAATTATCCATTTTATTAATTTACCATATTCCAAAAAGAACTAAAGGCAGGTAAATGATGAAGGTGAATGTTTTAGTGCAGTGCATTTACACAGTAGGTGATTTGATTTGATAGTTGTACCTGAGCAGGCGTAGAAATTAACCCTCTGAAAGATCTTAGAGTTCCAGAGGGCTTACAAGGGTGCACGGTACTGCAAGAGTTCCAGGGGTAGAAAAATGAATGAGACAGTGCTTGCCCTCAGTATGTTCTCTGGTCCATCTGGCAAGACAGACATACAAATTATAACAGTACGGTTATAAGGGCAGTGGTAAGTCTAAAAGTCCTGAAAAAGGATGTGATCACCAGGGCTAGGAAATGGAGAGGGAATGAGAGTGGGTTTGATGAGGAAGACGATGCTCAAGTTGAGTCTTAAAGGATGAATTCCTTCTGTTAATGAGGACAGGATGGATAAATGTGATCAGCTTCTAGGTGCTGCTCTGCTTCTACCAAGCAATGAGTTACCGAGCAAGCTGCTTAATACCTTGGGTACCCATTTTCTTATTCAAGATTTGACTACGTCTAAAGCAGTACTGTCCAATAGAAATATTATGTGAACCATAAATGCAAGTCACATATGTAAGAGATTTTACATTATTTTTTCCCCTAAGTCTTTGAAATCTGGTGTGTATACACCTACAACCCATCGCAATTCAGAGGAGTTGCTTTTCAAGCACTCAGTAGCTCCATGAGGCTAGTAGCTACCACATTGGACAGTGTAGATCTAGACTATGAAAATTTTGCTTTTCTATCTTGGGTTCCTGCTTGAAAAGGAAAAGCAACTCCTATGAGAAATATATTACTGGTAATTTCTAATTTCTAATCATTTTGATGGTATTCATATATGATGGTCTTTTGAGGGGAATTGTGGTTGTACTTGGAAATATTGTAGTAGGTATCTCTCAGGTTGTTTGCAGGATTGTGGTTGGGACTAGAAGAAGCTTTGCTTTCCCTGCCTCTGTGGTGGAGTTACATTTTTGATATCTTTATTTTGTGCATTTATATATACTTTGTATCCTTTTTCTACACGATGTGTTATTTCTATTTTTGTTGTTGTTGTTGTTGTTGTCTTTTTCGTGACAGGTGCTCAGCCAGTGAGCGCACCGGCCATTCCTATATAGGATCCAAACCCGAACCTGCGGCGGGAGCGGCGCTGCACTCCCAGTGCTGCACTCTCCCGAGTGCGCCACGGGGCCAGCCCGATGTGTTATTTCTAACATGATGTATACAGAACACAGATGTATACAGAGAGAGTGCACACAGACATTTTAGGCAGTTACAAGGAGATTTATACCATTTTAAACTACTTTTTGGATTTTTTTAATTTTAAATTTAGCTATTTGGGTACAAAAACAAGTGGGATTTTTAAACACTCCTTTAATGGATTGGAGTGCAGTTATTGTTGGCTTAGCAGTATTTATCTTTTAACCTTGAGAATGCATTAAGATACTATATAATTACCATCCTTACTATTAAACATAAAGTTATCTGTTAATCTTACAGTACAGTTACATTATTGATATGAATAAATAATGTACAGTGTTGATTAACTTAATTTGCTGTGTACTGATTTTGCCATCCTTACTATTAAACATAAAGTTCTCTGTTAATCTTACAGTACAGTTACGTTATTGATATGAATAAATAATGTACAGTGTTGATTAACTTAATTTGCTGTGTACTGATTTTGGTTAAAAAACACTAGATGCTTATTTTAGATAAGATAACTATGATTAACAATAAAGTAAATAACATCCTTACATTTGTATTGATTGATGATTATAGATTGACTAATGCTCCCCCCATCAACATTACTGTGAAGTAAATAGAGTAAATATTCCCATTTTCTTGAAGGGGAAAATGAGGCCCAAAGACATTGTGACTTGTTTAGCATAATACTTTAGAGGAATTGCTTGAACCCAGGTCTTAAATGCTAAGCCCAGTGTTCTTTTCATTGTATCTCTTTATATGGACTATATATAGCATGTACTAGGTTTTTGGAGTATGTGTTAAAGAATGGGTACTTCCTGCCTTAGGATCTTTATATCTCAACTAAGGAGGGACCAGCTACGATCCATATAGCAGAAAGTACTTTAGTTATTAAAAAATGTGTTAATGGGAAAGAAAAGATGTAAGGAATAGTATAGTTATGTTGAAAATAGAAAAGAGTTAATTAGGCAAGATTTTTTATTTTGGAGTAAAGGTTTTAGATCTTAAACTGTTACTATAGAAAGAAGAAGGTGATTAGGTTTCCAGGACAGTGTTATTTCAATGTACAGGGAAAAACTTAGATAAGAGAATATAGAGTATAGGTTTCAGGAAGGATTTACAAGGCTTATTTGAAACAATGACAACAGGATAGAGGTGAAGTAAGAGATGAGAATAAATAGACATCTGCAATAAAGAGTTTATAGGCCAGTGGTAAGAACTTTTATATTATCCGGATGATTCAGGAAATCTTATCTCAAGGCTGTGAATTCATTGTGGCTGGAGTAGTGTGGCAGACGTGGAAGGTTAAGAGGGCTGAAAGAGGGGTCGGTGACTATAAATAAGCAGCAGTGTTATGCTTCTTCCTGTTGTGAAATGAGTAGGGACTTGATAAAGAATTTGATTGTGAGAAGTGAAAAGAATAGGCAGTGTTAAGAAAATAATTTTAAAATATGCAGTATGGGAAATCCTAATTGAAACAGTTCATTAAAAAAAAAAGTACTTTCCTATAAAAACAGAAATTGGCAGTTTACCTTCAGAAAATACCAGTAGAAGCAGGAAGAAATTAAGTATTAGTAAAGTTCTACTGTGAAATGAGAGGA